TTGAACCAGACTGTACTACCTACCCAAAAATAGTAAGTTGAAAATAAATGGAGGGAAGGAGAGGAGAGGGATGTGCCAGCATCCTCTGAGTGTTAGAGATAGAGTAGTTAAAGAGACCTAAAAATATCCATCCATGTGGAGCTTACGTCTACAGGAAGGAAAGAAACAGTAAACATACCAATGTCAGGTGATCTTAAATAGCTATGGGGAAGAGTTAAGCCCAAAATAAAAAAAAATTAAAAATTAAAAAAACAAGCCAATACAATAGTCAGAATTTGCAAAAGGGTTAGTCAGCAATCAAGGAGAGTGGCTGTGACTCTCAGGAGCATGGGGAGTAAAGGCCAACAGGAATGTGGAAGGGTGTGTCAGGTAAGTACAAGGAGGAAGATGTTCAAAGTGCAGACAAAGTGCAAAGTTCCTTACATGGAAGGAAGGGAGAGAGACTGTCAGTGTGGCTGGAACAGAGAGAGCAAGAGGACTAGATCTTCAGGGCTGGATGCTTATGGGCAGCAGGAAGTGACTTCTGAGTGGTTGACAGAGGACAAAAGGATCTTGGCCTTATTCCGAATGAGCTAAGAAACCACCAGAGCATTTTTCTCCCTTTCTGGTTTTTTGAGACGATGTTTCTCTGTGTTGCCTATGCTGTCCTGGGACTCACTCTGCAGGCCAGGCTGGCATTGAACTTAGAGATCCACCTGCCTCTGCCTCCTGAGTGCTGGGATTAAAGCAGTACAACACCACCAGCCCATAAGACATTTTTTTTTTTTTTTTTGGTGATGGATGACATGATCATCCATCTGGGTCTGGGTTGAAGACAGCCTGGGTGTGAGGGCCTGGGCAGAGAGACATCAGAAGAGCACTTAGGCCATCCAGGTAAGGGGAGACAGTGGTACAGAGGGACAAAGAAGTCGTCACCAGAAAAGCATTGCTGAAAGGCTGGATGTGGGATCTGAGAGCAAGGGGACAACTCCTGGGCTTTAGTGCAGGGAATGGAGTGGTCCTTTTCTGAGAGAAAAGCACAACGTCAGTGAACTGGCACATCAGAGACTCTGTCCTGAACACACCAAGTTTAAGTCACCTACTGACTCCAAGGGAGACACAGCAGGCAACTGGATGAAGGATATGACCTCAGAGGATGAACTTGGGTGAGCTCACAGGGGCTGCACAGAGCCCTGCCTCTGATGAATTCATGCTAACTAGTATTCCAGAAGGGGATGGGCACTTACACTTCACAGGTGAGAAAATGTGGCTAAAACAAGCTGGGCGAGATGGAGAGACAGCTCCACAGCTAAGAGCACACACTGCTCTTGTAGGGTTTGAGTTCAGCTTCCAGCATCAATCAGATTACTTACAATATTCCAGCTCCAAAAGAGCAACACCTTCTTCTAGCCTCCCAGACACCTACGCTCCCATGTACACATACCAGACAGACACAGACATATATACAATTTTAAAATAATAAATCTTTAAAGACAAGCAAACCCTCTAGTTGAGTATGATGGCTCATACCTGCAATCAAAACACTTGGGAGTCCAAGGCAGAACTACCATGAATTTGAGGGACGCCTCGGCTACACAGTAAGTTCTAGGCCAGTTTGTGCTACTGAGACAGACCTTGTCTCAAAAGTAAAAAAAAAAAAAATCACAAATCTGAAATTTCCAAGTTCAAGAGGGAACAGGATTAGAACTGAATCTCCATTCACCAATCCAGACTTTGTTCTCAACACCATTTGATCTGAACTACCTCGACAATTTATGAAATTTATGTAGACAATTTATGAAAACTAAAAAGAGACCAAAAAATGTCCCCTTCTCTTCTTGGCATCTACTATGAATTCAGGTGAGATAAAGAGCAACTGAGAAGCCAGCATTTCTGATAATCTTAAAATAAACACACACACACACACACACACACACACACACACACACACACACACACCTCTTGTAAAACCAGATGAAATAGACAGTTCAGACGGTTTAGGAAGAAGAGCCAGTTGGTCTTTCTCATAGTTATTCTGCACCAAAGGGGCAAATAAGGACCATGAACTATTGATGACTGTCATGACATCTACCCAGTGAAGGTAACATTAGCCAGGATCACTAGAAAGACTCTCCAGCTCCTATGAGACTTACAAAGGCCCAGAAAACACATTTCATTCCATCATGACTGGCTGAAGCAGAGATGTCTCCGAAGTCATCTCATTTAATGATGAATTAACCAAAGCTCATAGGAGGAAATAGGGCCCTACCTACGGGGTTTCTGAGGAAGTGCAGGCTCTCCCATTGCAGACCGGGGACATGCCCGTGCACTGGCACTGCCATCCCTATTTGTATTAGTGATCTTTTCAATGGTAACCTCAAGAAAGTCTAAGGACTTTCAAAAGGCTGCAATCACCAGGCCAGGTGTGGAGGTGCACACCTTGGGAGGCAGAAGCAGGCAGATCTTTGTGAGTTTGGGGCCAGCCTGATCAATGGAGAGTTCTAAGCCAGCCAGAGCTGAGAAAGGAAAGGAAAGGAAAGGAAAGGAAAGGAAAGGAAAGGAAAGGAAAGGAAAGGAAAGGAAAGGAAAGGAAAGGAAAGGAAAGGAAAGGAAAGGAAAGGAAAGGAAAGGAAAGGAAAGGAAAGGAAAAGAAAGGAAAGGAAAGGAAAGGAAAAGTAGTCAGAGCCAGAAGAGAAAAAAGAACAAACCCAGTCATTCTGCTTCCATTCTGCTCTTGGCCTATCATGAAAATGTTAGAGCAGAGGTCTTGAAAACCAAGATTAACACCACATCATAAGGCATCACACTATCCCTCAGGATCCTACTAGAAATCTGCAAACAAAATCTGCAACACAGGCAACCTCGAAACTGCACTGCTTACTTCTGCTGCCACTGGTGTTGGATCACAGTCGCCAGCTAGTCCCATGGCTGCTCCTTTTAGAAACCAGTATGAATAAACTACAATTCCAATAATAATGGCCACCATTTTCCAGATTCCCAGAATGCACTAAACTAAGTACACTCATTGTTGCTGTCCCAGTTGACACTGGAACAAGGACACAGAAGTTTTATTAAGATAATTAAGGACTGGGGCTGGAAAGATGGCTCAGCAGTTAAGAGTACTTGCTATTCTTGCAGAGGACCTCCTGGTTTTGGTTCCCAAAACACACATGATGGCCACAGACATCTGCAAGTCCCCTTCTAAGGTATCCAATATGCCCTCATCTGGCTTCCAAGGACACCAGGTACAAAGTTGTACACAGAAAGACATGCAGGCAAAACAGGCTTCAAGTAAAATAAAAATAAATGAATCTTGAAAAAAAAGATGAGCAAGGATTAGTTATATAAACACTTACCAAAATTAAAAATACTTGCCAAGTGGTGGTGGTGCATGTCTTTAGTCCCAACACTTGGGAGGAAGACAGATCTCTGTGAGTTCAAGGCTAGCCTGGGCTACAGAGTGAGTTCCAGGACAACCAGAACTATACAAATAAACTCTTTCTCAAAAAAAAAAAAAAAGAAAGAAAGAAAAGAAAAAGAAGAGGTATTTGTTGTCTTTTGCTTGCATAAATCGGCTAATAAATACTTTTTACCAAGCATTATCACATTTTCTCTCTGTTGATCCTCATAAAAACCCAAGTTACCTACTTTATGAGACAGGGTCATCTCTGTTAGGTCTCAAACCTGTGAGAAATAGCTGAGGCGCCTATTTAATATATCAAAGGGGATACTGGCTGCCAGGTTCTTCCTGCAGCCCTCAACCCCAGCAGGACCCTCCTGCTGCTGGCATACCTTACCCCCTACCCTAAACTTCTCTAGCCCAGGTACTGGGCTGGACTTCCCGGCCCAAAACTGCCCTTTCCTATACAGTCCAACCATTTTGGTTACCTGGCCTTTTTCTTCTACCCTTTATCCCCCTGCCTCTTGGTCTAGTTCTCCTCTCCCCCCCTCCCCGCCCCTGTGCCCTCTGGACTCTCCCAGATGCCTCTGCCTCTGGCTATCTCTCCCTTTTATCGACAACAACCCTTCTCCTCCACCATACCTAGGAGCTATCATGTCCTTTCCCTTTTTATTTCTTTTTTTCATTCAATTGCCAAAATAACTTTCACCCCAAGAATGAAGCCAGTGGCCTGGAACAGAACAACTGTCCTTGTGTTTCTCAATCTTAACCCAGTGGCAGGGGAGAAAAATTGTGCCCTGGTCCCCTCCACCCTCACACCTAAGCCAGCTGATGGCACCCTAGTACTTTCTACTCAGTGTGTCCCAAAGATGACTGTGATCATAACTCAAATAATTGATCTCCTCTTAAACTGTCACTTCTAGAAGAATTCTCGGCATAATATGTAAAACTGAACTGGGGGGCTGCTGAGGTGGCTCATTGGAAAAGAGAGCACTTGCTGCTCTCAGAGGACCCAGGTTCAATTCCCAACACCTAAATTGTGGTTTACAACCATCTGTGGCTCCAGTTCAGGGGGATCTGATGCCCTCTTCTGACCTCCAAGCACACATGTGGTATGAATACATGCATGCAGGCCAAATGCTCACACTTAAAACAAAACTAATAAATCTAATTTTAAAAACTGAATGGGAAGAAATCAAGCCATTCTAAAAATGACCCCATATACATAAATCTAAACAGGAGAAGATACCAACTTGGTTCCATTAACTTGGTCACTAGAAAGGGCAATATCTTAACGAAATATAATTATAAGTATAAGATACTAGACCCCCCCATCATTTGTTTTAAATGCTAGGGACTGGAATAATAACATTCATAAAGGGGGAACAGATTTACCTAACAACTAGAATGGCAATAGTAACAAGGGGAGACAAACCTACCAATGAAAAACTATTCCCTAGAACTGCCTACTTGCCATGTCTCTAACGTACATCACCTACTTGAGATGTTCGTTCATAAGGCACAATTAACTTTCTCATAGTCAGTAAAAGAAGGAAGAACTGCAAACCATTTGTGTTACAACAGTACAAATGTAACAACCACCAAGGCTTGAGTCCCTTACCTTTATATGTCTTTTCATTATCACACAAATGAAGAGTGAAGTAGGTATCAAGGAGCTGGTGGCCATTTCTATTGACGATATTCCGAGCAGCAATGTTCCGGAGATGCCGAAGACGCCGCTAAAACAGAAGCACAAGTCAACAGGCATTCAGTTTTTTAATACTCTGTGTTTTGAAAAACAGCAGTTCAAAAACCAAAAAAACAAACAAACCAAAAAAAAAAAAAAAAAAAGGAACATGACAGGTTATCCCAGACACTGTTTGTTGAGCCCAAAACATAACCCAGTCTCTGATTTATGCCTCGCACGTCCTCCGCCAAACAGGAAGCATACCTACCTTCCTCGTGTCACTTAGAGAGCAGTTACAGGCATGGAATGGAAACAGATGAGAAAATCTGGTCTGTGTGCAATGAAGGCCCAAGATTAATGTTTTGTGTCCTCCCCAATCCCTTCTTCACCTGCTTTCTCCCTGAACCTGGGGCTCACTGACTCAGCTGCACACACTGGTAGGTAAGCTCTGGGGATCTGCCTGCCACCATGTCCCCAAAGCTGGACTACAGGGGCACACACGACAGGGGCATCCACCACACCTAGCTTTTTACATGGCTGCTGGAAACCCAAACCCAAGACCCCATGCTTATGTAGCAAGCACTTTACCAACAGCCATGTTGTCAGCCCCTGAAATCTTCCTGAAAAAACACAAATACCATGTAAGTGAAATCTACCTGCAGGACTGTTCATATCCTTGGGACATAAACTAAATGGAGACTTGGCTTTTCTCCACAGGCTTCAGATAGTTGTGACATATGCCCCTGTTGTTACTTTAGCCTAGATGCCAGTTCATGTGTACAACTATAAGAGGCCATAGGCAAAGAAAAAAAAAAGAAAGCTAAAAATAGTAACTCACTGGTTATTCAAGTCAGCCCAAGCCCTTCACCAGCAGCCAGCCAGTTCCTATTTGCTAAGCAAGGCTAATGTCCTTCAGTTTCACTAACCAGGATACTTCAATTATGTGTGTCTGAAACACAAAAGCTCCACATACAGCACTTCAACAGAAGTACAGGAGACAAGCTAAAGAGCTAACCCAAATGCGTCATAGCAGAAAGACCATGCTAGCAGAGCCAGGCACGGTGGCACACCCCTGAAACCCTAGCACTTGGAGACAAGAGACAGGATCCCACAAGTCCAAGGCCAGACTGGGCTACTATCAAGTTCTAGGCCAGCCAGGGCTATATCTCGAGGAAGTTTCTCAAGAGAAAAAAAAGATGCCAGTGTTGAAGACTGGGCACATAGTGTTCACCCCTCAAAACGAGTTCTCTTAGAGACTTAAAAGAGGCTGGCAAGATGGCACAGTGGAGAGAGCACTTGCCGAACAAGTCTGACAACCTGAGTTCAATCCCCAGGACTCACATGAAGGGAAGGGAGAACCAACTCCACAAAGCTGACCTCTGACCCTGGCATGCCCACACACACACATCACACGCAAACACGCACAATAATAAATTACTGCTTAACAGGCACCTAGTGCTCAGCATGAAATACGCTTCACGCCCTCCCTTCTAGCTGACAACAGCCATGTTCAGCTATGCAGGCAATCATACCAGCCAAATGCTTTCTCCCTGTGTAGACACTACAATCCCTTGAGAAAGGTCATTGTCGCCAGGCGGTACACCTTTAATCCCAGCACTCGGGAGGCAGAGGCAGGAGGATCTCTGTGAGTTAAAGGACAGCCCTGTCTACAGAGCTACTTCCAGAATGGCTAGGGCTGTTACACAGAGAAACCCTGTCTCGAAAAAAGTCATTGTCTAGTAAGCTTCCCTAATGCTTAAGTATGAAAAGCCCCAAACATGTTTATGAACTTCTCCTGGGCTTAGGCTTCCTAGCTGTCTGGGGTACTTTCCTTTCACACCCTAGATTATAGCCACTACCCACTTCATTAACTCCTTCTTTCAAAACTTCTAACTGGGTGATGGTGAGATGGTTCAGTGGGTAAAGGCACTTGCCACCAAGTCTGCTGATCTGAGTTCAATACTGGAAACCTGCAATGTAAAAGGAGAGAACCAACTCTAAAGCTGACCTCTGACCTCCACACATTAGCCATAGAGGTGCATTAAACACACACACATTTAAACTGACAAGAATCTTCTGCAGACAGCAATCATATTTCATGTGTTTCATGACTGCCGATGGAAAACACTGCCCAAACTCTCAGCAATAAAGTGCATATACCCCATCATTGTTTGTGAAGCTTCTGCAATCTGACCTCTTCAAGGATCAACCAAAAGATTGTGCAGAAGGCTGGGGATGCAGTTCAGTGGCAGACTGCTTACCTAACAAGCACAAGGTACTGGGTTCAATTCCCAACACTCAAAAAATAAATAATTGGGGCTGGAGGGGACGACTCAGCCTACTCCAATCCCACTGGCCCTGAAGCTGGGTAGGGTACAGGACCAGAGACTCTGGCTGCCACCTTTCTATCACAGTGCAACCTGAGAATGAAAGGAGGGACAGAAGAGTCAAGACTGGGACTCGGTTCCAGCAGCACCTTTGTCTCTGGATAGATCACACCAACAAGTAGTAATTATAACCCCATGAATTCATAGTAATGTCATCCCTATGAATCGGTCAAAGGCCACAGGTTTGGAAAGGACTGAGTACAGTAACTTCTAACTAATTTATCCAGGGCTGGGCATGTAACTCAGTAGAGCACTTCCCTACCTAGCACATCCACACCCAAGCCAATGCCCTAGATTACATCTCTACCACAGCAGACAAAAAGACAGACTTTTTTTTTTTTTTTTTAAATCCTACAGTGTGCTTAGTAGTAAAGTAGAAAAAAATAATTTGAGTTGATTTGATTTGACCTGGTCTTGTTTTTTAGCCAAGGTCTCTTTATGTTGAACAGGTGGGTCTCCAATTCCTGGGCTTGGGAGATCCTCCTGCTTCAGCCTCAGTTCTAAGACTACAGTCACAAGCCAGCAAGCCCAGCTCAAAGAAATGCTTTTAAATATCCCCATTTCTGTTGGGTAATTTGAACCTCAACACAGCAAACAAGGCTTTACAGTCAGTTAAATCACACCCTAGACTAACAGAAACCCAAAGCAATTTTCAGTGGTGACAATACCCAACTGGGCTTCTCTGTACCCTTCCCGCATGCCATCTTTCCCTTCCTGGTACCTGAAGTGTTCTGGCTTCTCGGGTGTAATGATGCCCAAAGGAACTGAGGCATCCTTATCCTGTGCCTGGTCACTGATGGAGATTCACTCAGGAAGCTGAGGATCAAATGATGGTGATTTTCATCGGCCACCCCTGCCTGTGTCTTGTTTAAAATCCAAAGGACTGTGGGTCTTAAATATAATTACTCACAAATCCCCACCACAACCAAACAAAATGAACCCATAGGCAATTCCGATGACTCCCATTATGATTTGGTTATGAAGTACCCCCAAAGAGATTCATGCAGTAAAGGTTTGGTTCCAGCTAATGTTGTACTCTAGGTAGTTGTGGGGACTGTAGGAGGCAGAGCCTGGAAGTAGGTCACTGGGTCATGTCCTTAGGGGTGTCTTATCCCTGTGTCATTCCTGCCTCTCTCGGCTTCTTGGCTGTCATGAGATGAATGACTTCTGCCACACACCCCTGCTGCCATAAAAGCCCAAGTAAGCCGAGGGTGCAGTATCAACAGAGTCAAGAGCTGTGAACTAAAACTTGAGTCAAAATGAAACTTTCCTCCTTGTCAGTTGTCTTGTCAGGCTGGACATAGTGGCAAATGTCAGTGATCCTGGCACTCGGTAAGTGGAGACGACGATCAGGAGCTCAAGGCCAGCCTGGGACCCACAAAACCCTACCAAAAGGAGGAAGAGGAAGGGCTGACAGAGGACAGCTACAATGCCCTGCCAGATATTTCATTACAGTAATAAAAAGTCTAACACAATTCTCAAGTCACCAGTGAGATATTTCCCAAACAAACTTTGAATCCAATTTGTTTAATTTACAAGAGCCATTACAGAAATGAGAACATACATAACAGTCGCTAATGCAAGGCCCAGCCAAAGGGGGATAAAGGCTACAAAAAGGCAGGCCACGGGAAAAAAGATAAACCATCAATGAGCACATGAAAAAAGAATGTACAATCATGACCATCATTACATATATAAAAACCAAACACTCCCCTAGGTGGCAAACTAGTTTCCAAATGAGGCTCATGTGCTTCCCATGGCCATGCTCTCTTCAATACAGTAATGCTGCTACACAACAGTGAAGTGTGCCGTATATGGCCGGTACCTTCACACATGGCAGGTCTGTCACCATGACCCAAAGAATTCTAAGTGACTATGATGGCTTGCCCCATCCGCTTGGGATGCTCTTCCTGGGAACCCCATGATCACACAGCACAGAAGACAAGCAAATGCATGGAGGGACCTCTCTGTGTTCGTCACAGCCCCAACTGATCCCAGGAGGCCGCCAGACCTGCAGCCTCTGAGCCTCCAGAAGTGGCAACCAGTAGACACAAGTTGTTTCCACAAAGCTCTAGCCAGACTGCAGATTCAGGAGCAAAATAAATGGGGTAAGCCACTAATTTCTTTAGTTGGTACACAACAGCTGATAACTAAAGAGGTCTATTTGACTAAACAGGCTATGTTAGCTTCTGTCAAGGTTGACACAAGTAAGAAAACCACTATGAATTGTTGGCTTGAAGCAAGGACACTTAGTGATTACCAAAATTTTCCAGTACTATTTAAAAAGCGAAAATTCAGTAAACCTGCCTAAATGGTAATATACCCACACGACGGAAAATATATTACCATTTTAAAAAGGTCACTTAAGTATGGGTATGAAATGCCAAGGGGGAAAAAATGTTAACTACTCAGAGAAAGAAATACAATTATACTTCCTGAATATCAGAGATCAAGGGCCTGCGAGCTTGAAAGGGTCAGAGTGACTGCTAAGCTTTCCAGGGCACATCAGCCTCTGCAGATTTCTTTCTAATCTGCTTACAGCCCTTTCACAACATAAATATATTCTCAGCTCATCGGCTGTTAGAAAAGTTACTGCTGCTGGTGTGCTGGCTGCTAGTGCAGATGTTAGGAGGTTCCTTTACAGCATCTGTGTTAGAAATGTCTT